ATTAAGTGGATAATATAAAGCAAGTATACTAGTTACACATTTATCTCACTTCTGTTGTAATACTGCAAATCTATACAATGTGCATATGGCAAAAGCTCTCAAAGACGGAGTTCCATCAAGATGTTTTGATACACATCCAGCATTAAACACCAGTGGTGAGGCAAGAATCAAACCTGTCTGTTCATGCAACCTCTCTCCCCCAAGCTGCCACCCTGATTGCAAGCGTAATTGAACTGCTTGTGAACTGCCTCCCACGCTTTCTCCATTTGCCACCAGCTATTTAATGTAGGCAGTTAGAAAAGGGTTTTCTTGTGTATGAACATGCCTGACTAGAAGCTGCAGCTGTTCACCAGTTGATTTATCATCTGTTCAGATTCTCTGACACAGGGCTGCCTTCCTTTGTAAGACTGGGGGAAGACAGAGTAGGAAGAAGAGACGGCTCATGGCTGACAGCTGTTTCAGCTTCTGCAGCTTAATTCGCTGCTGACTGTGCCTCAACACCCTAAATTTGGCTGAAGCTCAGCATTCATCAGAAAAGGACATTGAGCCAAGAGAGGAAGGACTGAACAAAGTGGAAGATTTAAGGAGGAAAAGATGACATGATTTTAGCTTGTTCAGGGTTACTTGTGCCAGGCATTCTTTAATGGGAAGAAGCAGCTGTTCTGAAGAAGGTAAAAAGCTAGGTTTCTAAGGGACAGAATAGCATGCAATAATGCCCCAACTCATGCCTTGTAAGGACCAGAAATTTTGATCAGCTTAGTCTGAGAAATTAAAACTGTACATCTTCTCTCATGTCATAGAATCATAGAACCATAAAAGGGCCTGGGTTGAAAAGGACCTCAAAGATCATCTAGTTTCAACACCCCTGCCACAAGCAGGTTTGCCAACCAGCAGACCAGGCTGCCCAGAGCCACATCCAGCCTGGCCTTGAATGCCTCCAGGAATGGGGCATCCACAACCTCCTTGGGCAACCTGTTCCAATGCGTCACCACCCTTTGTGTGAAAAACTTCCTCCTAATATCTAACCTTAATCTCTCCTGTCTCAGTTTAAAACCATTCCCCCTGGTTCTATCACTATCTACCCATGTAAACAGCCGTTCCCCCTCCTGTTTATATGCTCCCTTCAAGCATTGGAAGGCCACAATGAGGTCTCCCTGGAGCCTTCTCTTCTCCAAGCTATACAAGCTCAGTTCCTCATGTCCAGAAATGTATTTACTGAAGAAAAAATTGGCAAGATTACAGAGTACAGCTATGGAAACTATCTCCCCCTTACCTCCTCCCCAGCGCTTTCTCCTGGTGACTAGAGCACTGTGAGGGTCCCAAGTTAGGTAAGGATGCACCTCCTTGGTGGATAGCCTTTCTCTCACGCTCTCATATAGCTAGAAACTGTGGATTGCCTTTTTCTTTACTGTTCATCTCTTCAGCAGATACATCTGGTCAGAAATACTGCTGAAAGTTGTTCCTGGTTATTCTTCATCCATACTGTGGTCTGCAAACGCTAAGAAGAAGGGGAGTAGAACTGGTGAGAGTGAAGGATGCGCTTTGTCAGAGCCCTGCAGCAAGACTGCAAATGGCCAGAATTAAGGTCATATGGGCCAAAATCATGGAGTGGTGCTGGAGAGTGTGAACTACTGGAGAACCTGTTGGTCACCTCTCAACCCCTGCACTGGCCCGCTGGAATCACACCTGTGGCAACTGCCAGCTTCAGAGAAGGGAATTAAGGTTGCATCACAAGGGTATGATATATTAGCATTTTACCATTTCCAGGGGTGTAAACTGAACCATATTAGAGGTATGAGACACTACCTGCCTTTATCTGTGTTAATGAGTTCAGAGTGTTCAGTGTTTGTTTAAAAACAGATTCATAGCAGGCATTGGGCAATACTGCCTGGCGTGTTCCATGGAGGTATTCAACTCAATTGCCATTATTTACCAAATCATATGAACTATTCACACAGTTGGAATTGTGGTCATCAGCACATGAAAGTCATCAACCACAAGGTTACCAAATATTCCAGCCCTGTCCATTTGCCAAATCAAAGACGTATTTGGCTGAAGCTAAAACTGAAATCTAAGTGGCATCCAAGAGAGAGATGTGGTTGTGTTTCCTGTGAAAAGCAGCCAGATTAAAACAATTTATAACAGATTAATTAAATGGCCTCTGAAGTAATGAAACTATATTTGTAGTCATTAATCATATGACTTTGACTATTCCCTTTAAATATTACCTTAAAGAAACTGAAGCAGATACAGAAGTTACTGGCATAAGGCAGGCAATGCTAGTATAAGGCATTTTAGTACAATGTTAATAATCTGAATAGACCATTTGAACTTACCCGCAAGGCAAGGCATTCTGCATTCTGAGATTAGGATCTTCTCAGTATTTTTTTAAAATCAGACCTTGTAAAGGAAATTCTCACTACGTTTACAGGGAATGCCTTAACTTAAGGAGAAACATCCTTTCCTTGATTACCCATTTTTCATATAGTTTCTAAAACCTTTTGATTGACCCAGTAAAATAGTGTGTGTTTTCTTCCCTCATTTTCTTCCCACCTTTCCTTTCCTTCTCTCCTCATTAATTATTTGACATGAACTTCCAAATATTTTGTAAATCAGTAGATTTAATAAATTCTTTGATAGTGATTGTACTTCTTCTAAATATCCAAAAGAGGACCCTGAATTGTAATGTTTAGACTAGATCAACAACCAGGTTCTGTTCCAAGCTCTGATTTTGACTGAATCTCTCTGAGCAGACTTTTAGCAAGAACAATTAGTTTGGCTGAAAAGTGACAAATTATTATGCACAGATGGAAGGGTAATATGTATTATGGGCTATAATACCAAGAGAGATTATTTTTCAGAGTGCAATCGCCTTGTAAATGTAGATATTAACAACATAATTAATTATATTAATTAAAAATCTAGCTCAATTAAGTTCATTTGCATTTAGTTCCAAAATCATTCTCAGTGTCCCAAAATGGGGAAAGAATGGGATGGTTCTCCCTTTTTTGATCAGAAGAAACACAAATAACAGGACAGAAATTCATTTCTTCCTCCTGCCTTAATAAGAGGTTACGGTATTTATGTGAGATTTGTATGTTATATGTAAGATTACATTATGGATACAAGATAGTTTTAAATATTTGAAACAAAAAGGAATGTATTTAGATTTCTTAATAGATATATTAGAAACAGGACCTGACAGTAGACAATGATAATTTCTCTTGTCGTTGTGCCACAAGAAGCCATTAGCTCTTATTGCTTCACAAGTTGAACACTTTGAAAGGAAAGCATGTAATGTCTCCTGCGGAGATATCTGACTGACTTGCTGTAAGCTTCAAAGAAGCACTGTGAGATACAAGAGTAAACTGGCATAGTAGCAAACCACCCCTTACCCATTTCTCAGAGGAGGCTTATTTCTTCTTCATATTCCTAAAATGTGGAGTAAGTTATAAACTCTGAGTAGGCTGTGCCCCAGACTTCCACTCTATGTGTACTATTACATTAACACGGTATTTGCTGGCTTGATGCCATTGACAAAACACGACTGTAGCATCAGAAATAATAAATACATGAGAAACTAAAACCAGTGAAAAACAAACCCTTCTGAGAAGATTGTAGCTACTTTGGGAAACAGCCTGGCCCTTCCAAAACTGTACTGGGACTGGAGGTTTTTAGCATGGACATGGCAGCTTGTGTTGTGACTTTTACCTACATGGAGCCATAAGGGTTAAGGCCTGGGCTCTCCTGGGTATTCTCAGTATTTCAGAATGGATCCACAAAGCACCTATACTGGCTCCCAACCCAGGAGCTGGTGTGGGGAAATACTGCTGGAACCCTCTCAGTAAATCTGGGCCATCGTGGAGACAATAATGTGAGGTACTCAAGGATAAAAGGAGACGACATACTTCTGTGGTTTCTTTCTTATGGTACGCATGTAAGAAAAGTTGCGGCTCCTGTTAGTGTGTCTCCAAGTTAAATTAAAAGCACAAAACTATCCAAAATCCTGTGGGAAGGTGATCTCAAAGCAGCTGAAGTCTATGCTGCGTAACTGTACACCTGGTTAATCTATCAAGTCAGAAGAGCAGCGCGGTTTCATTAGGTGAGAATTGTGGTGAAGGTGCTTCTACACAAGACAAGATGAATGCCTCTTTCATGTGGTTTGGTTTTGGTTAGTTTATTGTGTGCTTCTAAGTGTTGTCTGTATGTTTCTTCCTGAAAACAGATCTGTTTCTTAAGACCCAAACGCCTGGCTGTTTGACTTCCAAAAACAAAGGTGAGGCTCTCATCCCTCCAGTCAGTCTCTCTTTCCCTCAAGCTTAAGGGCACAGTTAGAGAACGCAGCCGTATCAAACACCACGATAACACTATCACTGTGCAGGTAATATTCTCTGCTAAGAGATGAATCCCGCTCCTTCCTCCTGTCCACCCCCTCCCTCGCTCCGCAGAGCTCATTCACACTGAACTCCCGAGAGCTATTGCTTTTCCTTTCCGACGGAACCTCAGCAGCCCAGCACGCTTCCCAGCGATCCTCCCCTCACCCAAGGCTACACGCGGCGACCAATCGCCCCCCGTTACGGGAGGGCAGCTCCGCGCATGCGCAGCAGCTGCCGAACACCTCCTACCCGACGGCTTCCGAACTCTTCCGAAGCCCCCCATCGTGGCACGCATGCGCACTGTACCGGGGGCAGTCTTACCAACGTCCTTCTGTTCCCCCCCCCACCTTCCCAGCGGATCCCGGCCCCCTTCTCGGGGCCCGCAGCGCGCATGTGCGGTTGCCAGGGCGGCCGGCTGCGGTGAAGGTTTAAAATCGGCGGGGCATGCGCAGCGCCGGTTCTGGCTCTGGCGAGGGGGACGCCACATTGGATCGGCGCGGGGAGCGCTCCGGGCAGCGCCGGGCCGGTACGGTGCTCGCCTCGCCGGGCCGCATGCCGCTGCTCCCGGCCCGCGCGTAGCGCCGCTCCGGGCCCGGCGCGCTGAGGCGAGCGGCTGCGCGGTGAGCGGGCGGCGGCGCGGCGCTCTGGCCGGGCCGTGAGGGTCGGAGGCGGGCGGGCGTGGATGGATCCCCGCGTGGCCTGGATCCAGCCCGAGCAGAAAGGCCCCGCGAATGCGCTCTGGATGCAGATCTGGGAGACCTCGCAGGGCGTGGGGGGCCGCGGCGGCGGCGGCGCCTTCCCGCACTACCTCTGCCTCAACTCCCCGGCGCTGGACTCGGCCGCCGCCGCCTCGCCGCCCCGCGGCCACGGCTGCGCCCGGCTCGGGGCTCCCGGCGGCGGCGGCTGCTGCTCCTCGTCCTCGCCGCCGTCGCCCTCGCCGTCCCCCCCGGCGCTGCTGACCGGACTGGTGCCCGCCGCCGGCCCCGCGGCGGTGGTGAACGGCGGCGGCGAGGGAGGGCGGCGGCTGCAGAAGTCGCCCTCGGTGTCTTCCTCGTCCTCCTGCTCGTCGGTGGAGTCCGGCACCGAGAGCCCCGGCTTCTCCTCTTCGGGGTCGTGCGGCGGCGGCGGCGGCTCCTCCTCTTCCTCCTGCGGCCCCCGGGCGGCGTTGGCTCCTCCCGGGCTGCCGGGCGGCGGTGCCGGGCCCGGGGAGTTCTTCAACTTCCACGAGAGCGGCAAAGCGAACGGCGCGCACGGGCACCACCCGGCATCGCACCTTTCCCGCAACCCCCACCCGCCGCCGCCGGCCTCTCCCCAGCAGCACCAGTACCACCCGGGCCGCAGGAAACGAGAGAATAAGGCCAGCACCTATGGCATGAATTACCTGCTCTCCGGCAGCCGCGGCGTGGCCGTCGCCGCCTCCCCGCACCAGCAGCGTCAGCCGCCCCAGCCCGCGCTGCAGAGCCCCGGCACCCCCTGGAAGAGCAGGAAGTACAGCCCGGGCGTGCAGGGGTGAGCGGCTGGGGGGCAGGGAGGGAGGGAAGGGGTGGGCTGGGGTGCGGGCACGGAGCTCTCGGGGCACCTGCGTCTGTGACAAGGAATGGTGACATCCCGCAGACGCAGCGGGATGGGCCTCCTGTCTTGCTGAGCTGAGAAGGGAAGCGTCGAAGTGCTCCTGCAGAAATCAAAAGTGTGGAAGTGCAGGGGAAGCGTTTCAGAGGTCTTCAGGTTTTCTCACCTTGGAAGGGTTTTCTTCAGTTCGGAAGAGCTGAAAGGAAAAGCTTGCAGAAATTTTTAAATGCTTATCCCTGGAGCAGGCTGATGCTCAGGGGTGTGTTAAGAACATAGATCTGGAGGGAAGTGCCCAGCTCTGCCTGAAAAGTGTCAAAGTCAGTGTGGACTTGATATACTTTCGAGGGAAATATTCTGTCTTTACAGTCAGCCAGTGTCTAAACGGAAACCTTGGCTCCCTAAACATCAAGGACACTTTGTATAAAGGTGGTCCTCTTCTGTGGCAACTACTGTCTCATACAACTGGCTAGTTGGAAAGACAGAGTTGATTCAGATGGTTTTATTGGAGGGACTGGAGTTTGAGCAGAGCGCCTCTGGGGCACGCTGTGAGATGTCTTCCAGCTGTCAAACTTCACTCAGCCAAAGGATAACATTGCTTTCTAAATTTAAGTTTATCTTACAAAAAAAGTACTTGCTGCATTGATTGACTGGAAGAGATTTCTCATGGCATTTAGAAAATATTTTCTTTGAACTTAGAAAATCCAAAGCTCTTGAACACATGTGGGAGTAAAGGCACTGCATAACTGTAGAAGGAAATAGATAACAGGGTGTGCTGGAGAAATTTCAGTGAGCTGTACCTGAAGGTTGGTGTCCTTCTTTTCTGGGTGGTGCTGTCAGATGTTGGGTGCTTTATAGTTGTTCTGAAGTATTAAAAGATGCTTTTAAAGTTCGGTTTTTGCAAGCCATAGCCTCTCCTGACAGAGGTTAAGATCTGACTGCTCCTTTTAATCCTAAAATGACATTGCAGGAAGTAAAGTTGTATGTATAAAATTCTAGTAGTATCTCTAAAATAGTCTTTTTTTTGTTTTGTTTTTCCAGACAAACGCGGTGGAATGCTTAGTTAAGATCTTAATTTGTCTGTGTGAGACAAGTTAATGTCAGCGAGGCAACTTACAGGTGGACCAGTGAGCAGAGATATGGCAAACTTGCAAATCCAAGTTCTCTGTTCTCTAGCTATTAGGGTCGGCACAATTTATGCTAATAGTACACTTCACTTGTCTTTTTGTCTTTTGGCCTTCTATTGTTTAGCCAAGCTCCCTTTGACCTGTTCAGTTGCATAACACAGGTGCTCTTTTGCTGAGGAGTTAATGCAAACTTACTGGCATGTATCTTTGAAAGGGGGACCTGGGTTGCTTCCTGGTCTTGTTAAGGTTCTGTGTTACAGCAGTGAGACCTGATGCTAGCAGAGGATCGGTAGGGTAGGTACCTACAGCATGTGACTGTAGTTCCAGATTGCCTCATGATTAGTTTGTCAAATACCTTTAATGCTTCACAAAACTGTATGAATGCCATAGATTTGCATGGAATAGCAGGTAACTACTGTTGGAGCAGGGCACAGAAGTTGAGACTGTAGACTTACATAAGAAATCTTAAGCTTACTGAATGTTGGACAAGCATATATTCCAGAGCAGTTCCAGTCTTGAAATTTTTCCATGAAGTACTTCTGTGATAGAAATAATACAAAAATATTGTCACCAATGGAGGTGCTTTAGGTGTCTGTTTTCTGCAGTAATGCCTGACTACCATTGAGCTTCATTTTCCTAAAGGCAGGCTAGTGGACTATTTGGTTGTTCAGGTAATGGTATCACTGTGAAAATATTGCAATGGGAACTGATCCTTACTGTGGTTTCTTCTGGAACATTTATATTTGTTACTTGCTGTCTAGCATTACCTGGAACTGTCAGCATAGCTCTGAAGCATCACTTCTGTAACTGTGTCTGTCTGTTGGCTGGCAGAGTGTCTTCAAGTGTGTCAAAAGTGCTGTATGCTGATGTCTAGTAAAAAAAAAAAAAATGTGATCCCCACAATCCTCAGTTACAGGCTGCTTTGGACCTAAATGGCTGGAGGGAGGGCTTGATTGTAGATACTCTTACGCGCCTACTGTGCATCAGTGTTATCTGGTAGTGATGTAGGGCTTATTTTGCTGTGTATATAGTTTGTTGTAGAATGTAATTTAAGTCATGTAGAAAAAACAAGTGATAAGCAGTAGCTCAGGTTATGTACCTCTAGTAAAGAGGCATGAAAATGTTAGGCTTTGCTTGCATTCTTCTAGGATGCAATGCTACTTTTGGTGGAGTGCCTGTGTGCTTTGAGATAGTATTGTGCTATCTTCAATTTCTCATTCATAGCTGGACATGAAGTATAGCAGTGCATGTCATTGCCATTTTTTCTTATGGACCATCTTCAGTGTGGTGATATTCAGGAATGCTGCAAAGATTGTGCTTTGCTCTATCTTACGGCATTCCTTCTTCACCAATGGGCTCACATCTGTTGCTCTCACCACCTTCTGACAGCAGCATGCCAGACTTTGTGTTGTAAAGGAAATTAAGTCTCATAAAACAGTGTGAGAGTAGTCATGCTTGATTAGAGTTTATCTGAAAGCTGTGCTTTAGCTAGCTCCAGGTTGACCTTTATTTTGTCTTTTTCCAGATGTTTGGAAGATAGTGAGGAGGATGAGGAAAGCCTTATTTGTTCTGGTGCTTCAGTGGAGTGATTAATTTAGCAATTAAATGCCTGGAGTTAGATCGGGAGTGTAGCTCAGAGCAGAGGACAAATGGATTGATTTCTAATGTGATAAAGATAAGTGTGCTGTCATATTATTGGGTTAGCTCAAACCTATGACAGTTCAGAACTACAAGTGATATTTTGGCATTTTCATATTTTTAGCTTTTAGAAGCCTGTACTGCTTAAAACTTAGTGCAAAGTGTTCAGATTCACTGTAGATGTTGAATGAGGTTAGTGCCGAATGCCCGACATACCAGCTGGTTTGTTACAGTGCTGTGCAGGAACAGCAAAGTGGCTTATCGGGGGCTGGTCTGAGTACTGAGTGTGTTACAATGCATTGAAACGGTGTTAGGCCTGCACTCATAGCTTTGCATAGCATCTGGCATCTTGCAAAACTGCATCCATTTCACCCCCACAGCAGTTGTCTTTAACTGTCTCTTGTTAGGAACACAAATGTTCTGACATAGAGTGCAGGGGTATAAACGCCTCCACATTTGATGAGGCTGAAGGAGGATACATGGTGGCACTGTCTGGCTGTGGTAGCTGATGCCCAGGAAGTGTTCTAAGCAAAGTAAGGTTATGATGATGCTTTTCCAGACCACTTGTTTCCACAGAGTTTCAGCAGCTGAAGGACACTGCCTACTGTAAGCCATGTGCTGAAATTCATTTCTGTAGCTGCTGGAGTGTGGAGTTTTTATTGTATATGAAGCCTTTATTAGGTTTTGTTTTTTTCACCTGTGCTAATTCTAACTTTGGCAGAGAGATTTAACTGAATTTTGTGTTGTGCAACTCAACTATTAGAAATGCTTTGTGTTTGGGGTGTAACACAGCTTTAATTCTGTTTCTAAACTCTTGCCTCTTTGTTGCTGGCAGGGCTGCATGCTGAATGTGTAGGAATGCCTTGTGAACAGCCTCTTCTGCAAATCTCTTGTGCTTTGGCTGAGCTGAAGAAATGCAAACCTAAGAAACTGCGAAGCCTTTTCTGTCTGCAGTTGGGAGTATCCAGTATTGATAAAGGCTTTGTGGGACTCCCAAAGGCGTTCTCACCTCAAGGCAGTGCTGTCTTGCTATAAGGCCTTCTAATAACCAACACAGTGTTTTGTGCTTCATCCGCACTACTGTTAAATCATTGGTGTCTGTTACAGATAACTTTAGATGGATACCTGTAGTGAAAGTTTTGATAGAAGAGGCAGGCATTGCTGGCAATGTGTGATAGATTCTTGATTCATCTGACTTTAGGATTGGAGCAGAACTAGGCAGTATATACTGTAATATGCAAGGATGAGGGCAGGAGTTGGTCACAGTAAGTGTCTGGAGAGAGACTTGAGAAGGCATCAGGAAGTGGTTGAATGGATTGTTTTCCTGCCTAGAGGTTGGTATGCAGCAGAATTCAAGGCTAGCTGCTGGATGGATTGTCACATGAATAGAGGGCCTAATGCTCTTTTTGCAGACAACTGAGCTGACTAAGGTGAAGCTCAAAAGCTTTCCTTGCAGAGTGAATGAATGCCTAGTGTAGTTGGACTGATGTTTTTAGTAGTGGAATGAAAAGAAGCAGTGGCAGATGAAACAGGACAGAGGCTGAGCTGCAGTGGTATAATGTGAGAAGGATTTCTGAAGAGATGCTCACGTGTGTAAAGGAGAATAAGACGTGTTTGGAGCAGTTAAATCCTAGTGTTAGCTTCATTATACTTTTCAAGTTTGCTAGGTTTTTGGCAGTCATGGTAATTAGCACTAAGGATAAACAGCTGTACCAAGTGAGACCAATAAAGGCCAGTGCCAAATGTTGGGACGAGATGATTATATCAGTGTGAGGCTGTGTTGATATTTCCCGGAGTAATTGCTTATTTTAGTGATCAGTGGCTGCTGCAGAATGTGCATTAAATTCATAATGAATTTGATATATGAATTTGATTCATCTTGAATGGGTATGAGATTCTAGGATCAACAGTGTTCTGTGTCATGTTGTTTCTCAGAGAAGTTATGATTAAAAACTTTTTTGTCCTGTCACTTGAGTTGTAGTTGCTGCTGGCCATGTCTGCATTAACCAGGCAGTTCAGGGGCTCTTTGCATCTGACTTTATCCAAATTTGCCCTTCCCTCTTTCACCTGACTATCGTCCAGTTTCTAGTCTATAATCACTTCTGTCGAAGCTATTTCTTGCCTCTAAACATCTGCCACCTCTGCACAGTTCTGCTGCATCTTTGGAACTCAAACTAG